CCCCCCCCCCCCCCCCCCCCCCCCCCCCCCCCCGCCTGCCACCATTCCTCGTCCTTTCCTTGCCTTTTATATTTTTCGTCTGGGGTAAGAACTTATCGTTCCTATTACTAGTATCTATTTCACCGGCTCCAATAAATTTGATGCAGATGCTATTTTGAATAAATAAATCAAATGCAAACCTGGCCATAGGGGGGGGCTGTCGCCCCCCCCCCCCCGTATCCGCCACTGCTCCCCTACCCACCACTCTCCAGTCTCTTCTGAGGGTCACCCTCACCCCTTGACTATAGGCTTGACATACGTTTAGGAATTTTGCATTCAAAAATTGTAAATCCAATCCTAGCATAATCAGAACTAGACATCAAGGAAATTGCTTGCATATAAAAGAAAACGTGACGAAGATTTAAACCTTCAATGAATGCAGCTATATCATTGGAAGACACCCCAGGGATGCGAAGCACTGTCAGTCTAACAAAGCATATCACTTGGAAACAGTGCCTCTTCCAAAAAGAGCTATGAATGCGGGGTAGGAATAGGGAACTGATACTGACAGAAGCCTGTTTGAAATGATTCCTTATTCAGTCTGCATAATACTGTAGAATAGGTCTGATCAGGTGTGACAACCACAGAGGCTTCTACAAGCACGTGCTTCTGAGCAGAGGGCGTGAGCAAGCGATTCTCAGCCTTCCTTCCTGCGCACCGTAGGCTCATTCCAGTGTTGTGGTTCTCTTCCTTTTCTCCCTCTTCTCGTTCCTGCATTGGGCTCGAGGGAATTTGAGCCTATCCAGCGTAGGCAGGCAGCGCTGTGCCTACTCTGCACGCATAATCTTGATTTGTATTTGCCTCGCAATGGAAAAAATATTTCCAGCTTTGTTAATCGAAGAATTAATTATCAAATATTAATTTGAGAACTCTGATTGTAAACTGGGTAGGCACTGCCTACCCTGACGAGCCGCCACTGGTTTTCATGATACAAACGATATGTTTAAGAATTCTCCATTTAATTTCCTCTTATGGCTTGAATGTATGAAAAGTATAGATCAATTTATTTTCCAATTTTGGAATATCAGATATCGGCAATAATTCAGTATGGTTACACCTGTAAAGGAAATACAATCGGCATGTTTCGATTATGCTAATTCTCACAAACCCTCCCCTCCTCACTTATGTTAGCCACTTTCCTAGTGCACATGTGCAAAATAGGCCTCACCACGTCTGTCTCGTGTTGGATATGCAGCTCTTGTTGATCTCAGTGGTAAGTGCATGCAGGGCCGCCCAGAGGTTTCCAGGAGCCCGGGGCAAAACTAAACAGGAGACCCCTTGGGGGGGCCCCCTTGATAAGAGGGGCCCGCGGCAGATTGCCCCAATTCCCCCCCTCTGGGCAGCCCTGAGTGCATGTATTGTTATAGACACGACTCGACAAGAGTGAAGAGAGAAGAAGAATACAGGGTGGGGACGTCAATCGGCTATTTACTAAATCCAGATCTTTACCCGGAAGTAAAATATGTAGAAATTTGGAATTTTTTACTCGGGTTTATTGGTCCTTCTGTTATATCATGGCAAATTTTCATTCAAAATGGCCGTCTCTGGCCTCAATCACACGCTCCAGACGACCAGGACTTGTCTTGATGCAGTCTGAAACGAAGTTCATGGACATCTTGTCCCACTCCTTCTGGATGGCAGACATCAAGGCCTCGATATTTGCATGGTTGATGCGGCCAACCTTGCTCTCGAGGTAGGACCACACACCGAAGTCCATGGGGTTCAGTTCCGGACTTGAGGGTGGCCACAAGGCCGGAAACCGCCCAGTGGACATCGTGAAGGAATCGAGGAACCCGAAGGCCACCCAAGACATGGTCTACAAGACCATCAACCGTTCTAAGGGGTATGGCAGTGGTCAGCCCAGGCCCAGGGGACCCTGCTGGAAGATCCAGTCATTGTTTCTGAACTTCATCTTGGCCCAGTCCTTCATGGGGTTCTGTAGGATATGCTGATAGAACCAATCGGCCGTCACCTTGACGCCAGGTGGAATGAACACAAGGGAGGTCTTCCCGGACGTGCTGATGCCGGCACGGACCATGATTCTGTCCGGGTGCTTTCTCTTCAGGTGGAATTTCTTGTTTCCAGGGACAGCCTTGATGTTCTTGGTCACCACCCTGTTGTTCCTGGGGTTCTAGACAGCCTCAACGACAGCCTGAACAGCTTCTCATCCGTGAACACGAACTTGCTGAGATCCCCTTTTTTCAGCGTGCGCAGTAGCTTTCGGGAACAATCCGGCCTCTTCGGCTTCTGGACATCAGTCAGGAGTTGCCGCTTTTGCATGGAGTAGGACATCATCCCCAGATCCTCATGCACGATGTTCTTCACTGTCTTGGGATCGATGCCGGCCTCCCTGGCCATCTTCCTGAAGGACCTTTTCGGTTGTAGGCAATCTTGTTCCGGATGCTCTCGATCATCTCTGGCGTGCGTACGATCCTCTTTTTCCCACCCCTGGGCCTGGGCTGACCACTGCCATACCCCTTAGAACGGTTGATGGTCTTGTAGACCATGTCTTGGGTGGCCTTCGGGTTCCTCGATTCCTTCACGATGTCCACTGGGCGGTTTCCGGCCTTGTACCTCTTCACAATGAGGTCGTAGATCTCCGGCATCTTCAGGCAGATTCGTGTTAATCCAACTTTTTTTCTTTACAAATTGCTAGTCCTACTAGTAAAAATTTATCTAGGAATATAAACAAAATTGTCACGCAACCTGACACATCCATATTAAAAATAGCCGATTGACGTCCCCACCCTGTACTTGAAGTGTGTCCATTTGTCTCTTGGTCGTGGTACGTTAGAAATTAAGGAAAACCTATGGTTTCGATATCGGAAACAGAAAAACTGCATTCTCTCTCCTTTAAAGAAAAGGCACGAACCGTGAAATGTGTCCCCAAGACTTTAACCCTTTCACGTATGAATTTTTTGAGCAAAAGAAAAATATGCCTTTTTTTGGTTTAGCGTTTAAGGAGGTACTCTGCCCTAGTAGTTGCATGTTTCACGGCTAGAAAGCAACGCTAAAGAGATGTCCCTAGCTGACTGCATGCACCAAAATTTTTGAGGTATGTGTACCATTGCTAAAATACCATTACCATCGCCAAAAATTTTGCCGTTCACTATAGCGGACACCATGCGTGAAAGGGTTAAATGATACCGTCTCGAAATTGCACCTCTCAGACGTGGCCCGTAACCCTCGTGACTGCTGGGATCGATCGATTCGGCTCGACTGCAGGATGTTCCTCTTTTCGTCGTATTTCGTTTCGGCTATCGATGGGTTTCATCGGAAAGTAGTTAACGATCGTAGGATCGTCTCCGATTTCCCCCTCACCCCAGAAGTTCGGAAGGGAATCGAAGGAAAACGGTCGGACGGACTGGGCTTCGGTTCGTTGGAGAGTGGTCCTCGACCGAAATCTCGGGAAATCCCTCCATCCTCGCTTCACGGACGTGCCGTCTCGTGAGGTCGTCGGCCGCTCGTAGACGTGGCTTTCGGCTTCGGCGGAGTGGCGAACACCGTATGACCGATCGGACATTTATTACGGTCCACAAATAAACGATGATCCCCTAGGGGGGATGAATGTGTCGTTCCACCTCGAGTGTGGGAATGGTCTGTGCTAAACCTTGTCGCGACTGTGAAGTCGAGTGTGCGGAAGGAACATGCGAGGAACACGAGCCGATGAGATGGGAAGCACCTGCTGCAATTGGGAGAACGAGAAAACGGTTTCCGGAGTTGGCCGAAGGGCGCAAAACAATTATCCACACTCCCAACTCAGTTGCTCGTTTTATTTCATTTTCCGAGTTCCGCGATGGCTGAAAAAAGATGAATCAAAACATGCTAACAAATTTAAGCAATATTCGGTATTTAAAAGAATCGTATCGAAAAGTTAAAACGAGAAAATTTAAACTCGTTCACTCGTGCTCTCACCACGGGGAGAAGGACGCCACGACGATGCGTCGCGTACCTTAGACCCCATCTTCGTCGCCGTTCCGCGTGGTCTTCGTCGTCGTTCGCCCTCGAGCGTGCGTTCGTCGTCGATCGAAAGAGCCGGATGGGAAGCGGAACGGCGATGGCGATGCGGAACGAGGTACGTCGTACGTCGCGAGGATCGAGTCGACGATCCGTAGGAAGCGATCCGTGTGCAGTGGCAACGTGGAACGAGGGGTCGTCCCAGCGACTCGAGGAGTCGGAGCGGGAGAGGGACGAGTCGCGACGGCCCCCGTGTGTGCCGGTACGTGATGGTCACGCGGTCACGAGGGGCCCCCGTGTCGCGTAAACACCGAGAGCGGAGCTCGTGAAAGCCGTCGGCCTTGGACTCGCTCGCACTCGCACGGCCGCAAGCATGGCTGCCCCCGTCGAGGAATCCGAGCCCAAGCCCCTCCCGGTCCGAGGTTCCAAGCCCCTCCGGATCGGCATCGTCGGATTCGGAAACCTCGGTGAGTCCGTCCGGTGATCCTTCCGGTCTCGCTCCGGAGCGAGTACGGTTCGAGTACGAGTCGAAACGGCGCGGTTCTCCGTTCGCGAACGGCCGAAGGGGAAAGGGATCACCGAGATGGGTCGTTCCTCTTCCTCGATACCGCTCGGAGGGAAAAACCTCGTGCCGCTTTTCTTCGTCGGAGAGGGTTCGGGTGATTTTTCACGACACGGAGAGGACGCGTTGGTGCGGAAACGGCTGCACCGTCGGGGTCTCGATCCCCCCCGGCCCATCCCGTTGCGACGGATCCCGGAACGTTGTCCGTTCTTCAGGGAAACACCTGGCCCGGAAGGCGTCGGAGTCGGAGAGTCTGGAGCTGGCGTTCGTGTGGAATCGCGACGGGAGCAAGATGGACTCGACGGATTGGCTTCCCGCGACGGCGATCCTGTCGGAACTGGAGGACTTCGCCTCTCGGCGCCCCGAACTCGTGGTGGAAGTGGCCCATCCGTCCGTCACGGCCGAACACGCGAAGGACTTCCTCGCCGTCGGTGACCGTTCGAGTCCCTCCGAGTTCCCCCGAGTCCCTCCGCGTCCTCGATTCTCTCTCTCTCTCTCTCACGGTCCCGTGCCCGCAGGTGTGTCCGTTCGCGATCGGTTCCCCGACGGCTCTGGCCGACGAGGCCCTGCTGGAAGAGGTGGAGAGACTGTCGTTCCGCCGGGGGGTCTACGTTCCCACCGGGGCCCTCTGGGGAGCGCAAGACATACGAGGCATGGATTCCCTCGGCACTCTCCGGGTGAGTCTGGAGGATGCCGGACGGAGCCGACGGAACGACGCTCCCTGGACGCTCCGTCCTCCCTCCCGTCGCTTACGATCGATGCCGAAGTCGAGTACGGGAATGAAGAAGCGTACGGAAACGGGGAAGGGTCGAGCGTGCGAGCTCTCTTCCGTTCGTTATTTTGTCGATCGTACGATTCGGTACTCGTAGAATACCGAATCGTTCGCGAGTACCAAATCGTACCCAGCTCACCCTTTCGGAGTTCCGTGTCGGATGCGGAAGAGGAGAACGGTGGGACGTCTCGGGTCCTCTTCGGAGCACGCCAGAACGGTGCTTCTCCACGTTTTTGTTTCGCGGCGTGCTTTCGAGTTTGCTCGATCCTCGCGGCACAGCGAACCGAATCTCGCAACGTCGATGCGCACGTTTTCACCATCCACTAGTTCTTTCTTTTCCCATCGTTCCGAAAATACTGCGGCACGCCGGTCGCGAAGCACTGCGCCGGCACTCCGAGCCGTCGAGGCGAGTCGAACGCGCACGAGGTCGCGAGGTCCCTTCCCGAACCCCCGGGCCACCGGCCCTCTTCCCCGGAAGCCAGTCGGTGGCCCACCGCTCGTCCGCTTCTCGGGCGATTTCTTTCCCAAGGCGAAAGGATCGCCGGAAAAACGCGAAACCGCCGAGCGTCTCACGTCGTTGGTTTTTGGATCAGGGACTCCGAGTGACGATGGCGAAGACACCCGAGAGCTTCCGACTCTCGGAACCGCTTCGGAGTCGGCTGGAATCGGCGTCGCCCCTGACCTCTGCGACGACCCTCTACGAAGGAAGCGTGTCGGATCTCTGTCCCCTGGCTCCCAACAACGTGAACGCGATGGCCGTCGCCGCCCTCGCCGCCAGAGACACGCTCGGATTCCGCAAGGTCGTCGGGAGACTCGTCGCCGATCCCGGGTCAGTCGCCGACTCTCTCTCCGTCTNGGGGCCCCCCCCCCCCCCCCCCCGCAACGAAAAAGGGTTTCACCCGTGGTTCCCGAGAACCCGAGGAGATCCCGGCGTTTCCCGTGCGGACACGGGACGCGATCCGTTTCGAACGTCGTGGGACGCGGAGGAAGGTACCGCGTTCGCACCGTCCGGCCCCGTTTTGGTGGATTTTAACCCTTCACCGGTTTGCCATAGAGAAATCCGACAAAAATGTCGGATGACATTTTGGCTAGATCTCCGGAATGAAACGTAGAATGAGCTTCACGTGTGACTCGTGCAGAGCTAGAAAGTACAGTAACATGGTTTTCAAGTTTCAACTGTCTGCGTTACAAAATATAGGAATGAAGTCGTGTAGAAAACATGAGAACTTGGGAGAGATTTTAGCCGTACTTCCCGCGCGGAATACCTTCACGTGATTGGCTCTTCCAGAAAGAGCCATCCACTGCACTGCGTCTCCTGTTACTAGTCGTAGAAGTAACGAAAGCCTTTCTCGTCGGCAGAGACTTGAAGGGGGAGCCCGTGGAGGTCTCTATTTACGGTGCTCTTGGGATTTAAAAAAATATATATTTCCCACTCATCCAGGCCAGCCCGATTTCTTATAATTTTCCTATCGACTCGATAATAAAGGACTCAGATCCCCCTACACATAAATGCACGAAAGACCTGCCCCTCCATCTTTAAAACCCAGGAAAAGACGATTAAAACCGATTGCCACGTTTTTTTCCTTCAAACATCGACCAAGAAAACGGCTTCTGTACCGTTAGATTGATGAGCGAGATGCTTAAATTGTATAAGAAAACATTCTCTGCTCTCTCCACTTTTGATTCGCGCCAAAATATTTCCAAGTAAATGAACGAGCAAAGAATACCAGGCAATTTTCTCAGAGCTATGCGCGCTCGTCAAAAATTCCCCGAGAGAAACGAACCGAAGGGTTAAACGCCTCGCTCGTTCCGCACCTCGAGAGCTCGCCGGGGATCCCTCACGACCCGTTTCTCCCCCGTTTTTCCTTCCAGCCTGTCGGGATGGCATCGGGTGGAAGTGGAGGTGCGAGGCGAAGCGGGCTTCGAGGTTCGCACCGTCAGGATGAATCCGGCAGCGGAGGGTGCCGTCACGGGCAAGGGGACCTACGATTCCTTCTGGAAGTCTCTGCTCTCGGCTTCCGCTCTCGTTTCGGCGTACGGCCCGCATCCGGGAATCCACATCGTCTGATGCGACCCGTCGATTCCTCATCGTCTCTTCTCGTCGTTCGTTTTCTTTCGATCGTTTCTTCCTCGAATTATTGTTATTTTTTCCTTAGGCCGATATGTTTTTGTCGATCCGCCGTCATAAATGTCTCATCGGTAGTATCTAATAATATATCGGTGACGCTGATTTTTGGTCATAAAATGTCCTTTCCATTTCGTACTGCAAAACAGCCGAAAATGAGAAAATCTAAAGCGTACATGTGAGGGTGTCTTTCGGGGTCGAGAGAACTCGTTTCATCGTACAGACGGCACCGATACGGACCAGGAGGGACACGATTGCTGGCAAACACTGGGAGAATCGGGACGCGGAGGGACTCGGGGGAACTCGGAGGGACTCGAACGGTCACCGACGGCGAGGAAGTCCTTCGCGTGTTCGGCCGTGACGGACGGATGGGCCACTTCCACCACGAGTTCGGGGCGCCGAGAGGACCTCATATCTCCAATACCGGCAGGTGCCGTGGAAGGATTTATTTATATATATATACAGGGTGGCCCAAAAAAACGCACCAATTTTGATCGGCAATAACTTTTGAACAAATGAACATTTTTTCGTGTTCTAAACGGGAATTGAAAGATCTATTAATCCTCTTTCCATCGCCATATATTTATCAAATTTTCCTCAACGGAACCGGAGCAATTGCAATTTAAAGTACAAGCACCCAAGAAAGTGGATGACGAAGGCTGGCTTCTTGCTAAAACCCTCTCTGTATGCAGCATCCTTGGGCATCCTACGCGATTTTCCGTTGCGTGCCTGCAACTGCCCTGTCTTTCAAATTTCATCCTATAAAAGTGCATTTAAAAAGTTCATTCCAATTATTTTCATGGTTGCCATTCGAACGATTATTGATTCAAAACCGGTTTTGCGAGCGTGCCGCCGTTGTCTCGCTGGTCAATTATTTTCAGTTGCTCTCATACCGAGTTTCAGCAGTCAGACATGTTTCTCTTCAGTGTAATATAGAGTTTTTTCTTCGTTTGAACTTGAATGATTCTCTTTGATCTTCAAGTTTAAATTTTAAACTCACTCTCGCTCAAGACCATTTTTAAAATGGTCTTGAGCGAGAGTGACAAGTGTAAGATAACCGCGCTGCCTCAGGAAATCAAATTCTGAATCAAACTTTCACTGAATCAAATTCTCGCGGAGTTTCTAGATCGCCAATGGAAACAAAGAACAGTTGCGGATTTAAAAAAATTTTTTCAAGACTATGGAAGCGGAAAACGTCGTCCGGGCAGAGGGCGTTCAAAAACTGATCGTACAGAAAAAAAAAACGTCGAGACTGTCGGTTCACTGATTTGCAGCCAAGAAGGCAAACCAGGCACCAGTTTAAGTGTGCGGCCTATTTCAAAAGAAACAGGCATTCCGCGGTCTTCAGCGAATAGCAAAGAAGGACTTGAACCGATTTTGAATCAATAATCGTTTGAATAGCAACCATGAAAATGACTGAAATGAATAAATAAATAATATATATATATATATTTCCCCCCCCCCCTCCCCCAAGGTGTTTAGCTTAGACACGACAATAATAAAAAAAAACCGCTACTCATCGTGACGTTGATGATCACGTGACGATACCGATGCCAGTCAGGTAGGCCTTTTGCACCCAGTTTTTCTCATCTCTCACTTTCCCTTCTTTTTCTGGACTCTTGTTCGTGAGGCAAGAGTCTGAAACGCTTCTCCCCGTCTGCTTTACGATCCCGGAGGATGAAGGTATTCGCAAGCGCGAAGGCCTGCGACGACGACTCCTTCAAGTATGGAGTTCCACATTCCTGTTCCTCGCCTCCTGCAGAGCCGTTCATCGACTGGGCAATAAATGGGAAGAGATTGCATTCGCAGATAGGAGAGCGATGAAACCCCTAGCTTCGTTCCTCACAAAAACGCACACGACTGCCTTTTCTCGAAAAGAAACGTCTAGCGCCGGCCGAGTGAAGTTCGTCCTGAAAATGACGAACCACCCCAAAATTCCCAGCAAGTATGCAATTCTCCTGGCAACACCCAGGGCTGATAATTCAGCTCATCCAGCTCAAATGTGGGTAACAGGATAATCAGGACGTATTGCTCGGATGCCTTTCTGTAATTCCCAAATGACCGCCAACAGCTTCATCGTTTTCTCTGTTGCTTCCATAGTTTAACCTAACGTTTGATTAGCACAAGTCCTCTGCTGTCACACATTCGTTTTTCAAACTACATGTAAACACGCATAGGATAACATCACATCTCACCACAGGGCGTTTTATCTAAATAAAATAAAAAACTACTTAGCACTCCTAAGATTAATATGATCACATTTGTGATTTGAATGATTTGCTGCAAGGTACAGATGACAAATAGCTGTGGGAAAAGTGGACGTTTTCTTCAGTCAGAATATATAAAATCAAGGGGATGTATGATGGATGAAGCCATATATTTCCTGTTAAATCTGACAAGTAAACAGAAATGGCCAAAAAAAAGAAGCAAAAGATGAAGGAGAAACAGGAAAATAATTCATCTGAAACAAGACCGGGTCCCCTGGTTGCATGGCGAGTTCTGATCTTGATATCTCCTTATATGAGACACCTTTTGTTCTTACACTGATGATAGCATCACTCTACTCTCAACCACATTTGTAGGAATCCATTCACCTTTGGAGAAGAGGGTTATGTCCATTACTAAGGAAATTTGCATAGACCTGCCACGGCTGCTTCCTCGCAGATGCAGAGTCTCGAGGCCAATACAGAGGGAAAAAGACCAAAACCGCAATCAGATAAAAGAGGGAAAAGCAAAAGTCCAACCATGAAACAGGCCATGCTTCAAGTAAGGGTATCATATAGAATGTCATCTTCACTGACACTTCCATCATTGCAAACAATCACAGGCAATCACTTGCATCTGTCTGATCCACTATTAAAAAACTCTCTTCACAGCAAGAGAAAAAAGAGCTAGGGATGAAGGGTCTTGTTCATGAAAATGGGCTCCAATGAAGCTTGATTTATGCTAACACTCCCTTGATGAGACTAGAGGATAGGCCATCATCACCAATATATCTTTTATGGGAGCAGACAGTAGAGAAATGGAGAGGAATACCACAGGGAATACCTATAGACAAATAGGTAGCTTTGAGATGTCCATCACGACTGGTTGTTACTATTCTCCCAAAGACTCACTCAAGGAACTGCCATTCCTCATCGAATGATTCTGGAGAGACAGTTCCGTGAAATAACGGTAACAACTGCCGCATACTCTCACGGGGTCGTACAGCTGTTCTCTGGGTAAGGGCATCATGTTGCTTGAGCACTCTGAACAGCACACTCTGCCACAGCCCCTACAACAAAGGAACCCATACATATAAAATCTGGAGGAAAGGCTGGTGCAATAGGGGGGAAGATGGGTTATGTTGTGGTTCAATATTTATTTAGTCTGAGATTGCATCCTTAAAATCTCAGGGTCTCTCCCCCACCTGAACCTGCCAAATCAATCTCTATCTAAAGGTCAGTGGCAATCAAGTGATTGCATCTCCTTCCCATCCCTCTCCTGCTCATCATAAAAGATTAATGGGCTGTGGCAGACTCATGGGGTGGTTTAAGGGGAGTGAAGCCCACCCCCTAGATACTTGCCAGCAGTGCACACTTCTAGTAATGGCATGTCTGCTTTAAAAAAAAATATGTTGGGGGATATCTTGGGTATGTACAATCAAGACTTCTGCCATGTGCAATATAATTTCTCAACCTAGTTCATGAAAGTATGAACTGCCAATTTTTGCTGAAGTGTGAGGGTCTTCACTCCAACTTAGAGGGCACAAGAACTAGGCATGCATCTATGATGCACATATCTGCCAATGCTGCACTTTTCCTTGAGCTTCAGACTCAGCCACTGAATGCTCTCTCACACGTAATACTTCAAAGGTAGAGGAGCAGGAATGATTGCCAGATCCAGACCTGCAGTGATGTTTGCGTCGCCCCAGCCAGAAATCCATTCCACAGTCCTGGCATTGTGGGGCAGCATGGTCAGGGACCCACAATGTAAGGGGCCCTGCATCCTTCTCATCCACTGCCTCCCAGCTTGCTTCTGAGGTTGCTGCAGAATCTATCCCTCCTCTATTCTCTCCTTCTCCCACTTTTCCCTCCCCTTCTTCACCACCTGACAACCCCTCCTGGGCAATCTGTGATGGACAGAGATGTTTTGGAACATATAAAGAAAAGGCCAAGAAGCAATAAAAAAAAATCAATATAAGGCCAGTAAAACTGATATCTCAATAACAAAGACATCAAAAGCCTGTATATGTCTATGACACTATAAAGTCAATATTTTTCAAGATAAAATTTCTAAAGATAAATATCTACATAGGCAAGAGAAACTTAAGTCAGTCCAAATAAAGTCATTCAGGGGATGATAAATACAAGTTTAACTTTTGAATTATTCTTAAAACTGTCACTATGAATTTAATTAATTTTAGTAGTTTTGTGCACAACATTGTAAGACTGTTAACTTCAACTTATACTTTGGCAACTGTACAAGGAACCTTGTTTCCTTTATGAAGAAAGAAGCTCTGACAAGGAAATAAAGTCACACTGACTGAAACAATCACCATTTGACAGCTACCAACAAGAAACAAGAAATGTGCAAGTATTAGCCTAAGCTGAATTTTTATTATCTACAACAATAAACATAACTGACATGACTTTCATTAATGTTATATAGCTGGCTTCATGAATATAATGAACTATGGGTCTGATTAAGTCTTTGTTTATAGCTTTCCAAAAGATAGGTTTAGTGTTAGGATGTGAGGTTACAGAAGTTTCAAATCAAACACATCATGTCTGCAAGTCATTCTCATGCTGCACAAAGTAAGGCATTGCAATATATTGATATTTCAATTGTATTGGGATGTTTGCATTTTCCAGTGATGATACTGCCTTCAGGTTTCAATATTATTTCCACAACATGAAAACCATGGAATATCATGCATGAAAACCTCAAAAAATACATTATAGGGATTCTGGCTGTAATCAAATTTAGGCAACAATATCACCAAAAATTTCACCCAGTGGAGAAGACAGGGGTCCTTGGTTTCATGTTTATAAAACATTAAAAAAATACAGCCAACAGATCCTATCCCTTCCTTTCAGTCCTGGGTATATGCAATGATGCATACCAACACCCTGGCACCACCTCACCAGTATCATAAAGTACTGCAGTATTGAGAATCTTTCACACATCAAAATGACAGATTAACTCTTTCAGTAACAATTTTTGTGAAATGGAAACATTTAAAATAAATGTATATGTGAAAAAATATATGTTTGAAAACGAAAATAGAGCAGTATTCATAACATCATATATTTGCAAGAAAAAACTTAGTGGGATAGGCTATGTTCCAGAATCACATGAGGGCCAAACTATACCTATGTACAGGTGAACTATTTACAGAACATTAGCAATGGGACAAGGTATGTCCCAGTATCAGCGAATGGGCTAAAAGAACTTACAGCTTCAGGACCATGTCTATGGCATCGATGACAAACTTGCTGACACAAGGCTAGTCGAGTCATGTACAAGTCTCGTCTAAGGACTGCCAACTCCATCTGGAATGGTTAATTTCAAATTGTGTAAATCCAGTAATCAAATTCCACCTTCAGCATCAAAGGAATAGAGGTAAGAGAAGGGGGGAGAATCTTCTAGTCACCTGATGAGAGGCAATGATGTCTCTGAGTCGCCTCTGAATGACATCATGTGGGTGATTCCCTTCTGGCTCCAAATGTATCCTCCTGAGTAACTCAGTGACCTCTCTACTGAGGTTTCCCCCAGCTGGCAGGAGTTTCTCTTCACAGGGAGTCGCAGGGAAACCCGAACTTGGAGGCCGAGACACTCCATGATTGTGGCATTCCACAATCTTGCGATTCATGCACACCACACAATGACTGTTGTCCACTTGGTTTATCACAGCAGAGCCAGGCACCAGGGTGTTTGTGGACATCTTTTCACTCTCAGCATTCCTCCCACCTGCCTCCTCTTCCTCTTCTTCTTCATCATCTGTTTGGCTGCTTTGCCGATGACCCACTCCATTCATGACCACTTCCTGGTTCCCAGGACTCTCTTTCTCCTCCTGCTCTTCCTCATCAGGTCCTTGACCCCCTTGCCTACTTCCATGTCCAATGCATCTGGATTAAGCATCTCTCAAAAGTCAACTTTAGGGGTTCAACAGATCCTGGAAGTAGGAAACTCACACAACTTTGGAATCCAGAGTCAAGTCAGATGCCAAACCTGGTAGGGGGGGATTTATGTCCACTTGGGACTTATACTTGTCATTCTGGCTAGAAAGATACACGGCTGACCAGAACACCATATCTCGAACATTGCACGAGGGGTTGAGCACCTGGAAATAAGAGAAATGGCAATGCAGGCCCATATGACTTAGCATCTCTTAACCTAAGAGACTCACAAATCAGACCACTCACTGTATTATCCGGCACATAGAGATGATTGAGGAAGAGATAGGTTTGGGCCCGGACATATGCCCAAACAGAATATGTTTTTTCAGGGCATTGTTGCTCCTTCCTCTCTCGAGCAGAATTGAAGAGGAATGTTCCGAATAAATTGGAGTAGACATGCTCCAGGAGTTTTTCCTAGACAGGAATGGATTCATGGCCCATTTTTATTCTGTACTCTTGAGTTTCTGGAATGAACCTTCTAACCAGGATGAGGTAGAACTAACTAGATGGACAAGATTGAATTGGAAGGTAGTTGGGAATTGATGCATGAGCTGATGGACACAATCCAACCACTGAAGGAATACAGGACATCTTTCATTTCCATCTTCTGCTCCAAATCCAGAACCACAGCGATCACCAAATTTGTGCCCATACTCAAGCCATTCCCTCTCAACCAGGACCTGGAAGCCCTGTGGAGAAAATATTACAGCATACCATGATAATAATTAATTCTTGAATGTGAATGACAATTTAATTGCTGGAACAAATCTCTGGACTATTAGAAGAAGATTTGGATACCTCAAGTGTACGGTAGTATGGATCAAGAATGAGTTCAGCCAAGGAGATGATCTGGGGGGTTCGATCCCAGCCATCTGAGCAATGAACAACAACTGGAGTCCTGTCCACATTCAAAAACTGGGCCACGGAGTGGGCTGCCTTCAAGAGTCCTGCAATATGATGCAGCCACCTGCTGTTTTCCAGCTGACTCCACCAACTACAATAGAGGGTCATCAATGTCAAGACCCAAGAGGGCAGAGAAACCTTATCTGTGATACCCACAAGTGTCACACCCACCTCCCATGATCTGGTGGAAGGGAGCAGACACTCCTGAGGGAAATGAAGCTCTTTCGAATTGAATGGATGTTGGCCAGGTTCATGAAAGTTACTTCACAATTAGGATAGTATTCCTGGCATTCACATCCTCCTCCTCGTGCACGGTTTGCCACTGCTGTTGCATATGATCGTGCATCCACAATCTGGACCTTCTGCAGAAGTCATTCATTCATGACACACATTGTTGGGGGAAGACAGAGGGAGTAATAGGAGAGATTTAGCAGGTTAAAGAGTTATCTGACCTGAGCAGAGATGTTTGCATCCTTGAGGGTAGCATATCCATTGACTAGCTCATCTGTGGAAGTAGAACTCTCACTAGAGCTCTTCTGCCTCTCTCCTCCAGGGCTGGGTTCTAGAGGTGTGTTCCATGCACATGCATCTGCAATTGCCTTGATGAGGGACTCATCTTCATTTGATCTCCATCCAAGCAATCCCACCTCTGGCTGGCTACATCTTGCCAACACTGCACCATTCCCTTTATGCCTGCATTCACACCAGAGATTCCAAATAATTTCAAGGAATGCACGTAATACCAGGTGGTCAACAAGCAACAATATGCAATTCCCAGAAATATGTTGCTGAATGACATTGCTCTCAGGTAACCTTACAGTCTGAATTATTATTCCAAGTTGCTAGAGAGTGCAAGCAACCCTCGATGAATGTGGCTGCAGTACAATTTGAAAGAGGTGCCTTTCAAATGAAATTAAGACTTCAGCAATTCCTGGAAAGTGTGTAGCAAAAGTGCATGCAGCAAAATTAAGGACCAAGAGAAGGATCTATTGTTCCCACCTCCACACCACAGCAGGAATACGTCCTGAGCTGCGGAAATGTGCCACCTTCTCCAAGACAGCATCTGTGATGCAGAAGGGCACTAAGAGATGCTCAGGATATGTGGAACATATGGCATAGTTCTTGTTTACTGGACTTATCCTCCATGCTCCTTCCAGGTCAAATCCCATTCTCTCCATCTGGGAAATGAAAAGAAAATCAGTCTGAGTAGAAGGTTCACTTGAAAATGTTATCAGTCCTGTAATTCTAGCATCAATGAGGGGTCTCATTCATGTTGGTATAAAAGAGATCAAAGCCAATCATAGACCATACACAAAAAACTGAATGGTCTGTGGAACAAAACTAAATAATCACAAATGCAGAATTTAATAGTTTCCTATGACTGAGTTTTGCTGAGTATAATCAGAATGATATGCAATGGATTACATTGAAAAAAAAAGTACAAACTCTCCCCTGCAAGCAATTGGTGCAACCATGGAAAAACCAACTTAGCCTCAGGCAAGCCCTTGGAGCTGCTGGTAGAATTTGTTAAGTATGGATAAGATCACATGTTAGCAAACATGTACAAAATTTTGGCCACATTTAGTCATAATCCATTTACAAGTTCTCAACAAAAAAGTGGACCAGTACAAGTACTAATTCTCCAGTACCTACCAACTCACATATATTACAATGCCAAGAGAGGTCTTCACCTTAGACAAAACGAGTACCAGTGATTGGAAAAAATGATTAACCTCTCAACAGTGAATTTGACTGATTTTTAACAATGGGTACAAGTTCTTTGAGTCATAAATGTGCACATTCCATAACCTCATCTAATCCATTTTCTAGAGAGCAATCTTCAGAAAACTTCTCATTCAGAGCCACAACACAAATGCAAAGTCACATCGTATGGAATGACTATTCACTTGACACAATGAAAAGCATTAGTTGCACATTAAACTCTGGAAAAAGCAAAAATCATTTCTTAAGCACAGCTTTATAACAAATGATACTGAATTTCACTTTCTATACCATTCACAACCAGTCAACATTCCCAGTAGCTGGAAATAGAAAGCATGTGGTGATACACATAAGCATGATGCATAAAATTAGGTGCAGTATAGGGTATATTCACATGAAAAAGGAGCAAAGCACAGAAATAAATTCCTATCACATGCATCCTGTCATTTCAAAGATGATCTGAAACCATTCAATTAATTGATTCCCATTTGCTCATATGTTTTATTCTTTATGTGATGTTGTCTTTTATTAAATTCATTTAAAAATCTGCTTTAAGGTGTTTTTCTTTTAGGTGGAGCCTAGTCTCTACTTTTGCTTCATGAAGGTGTCCTCTGGAGGATATAATTAACACTGTCATGAATCCAGATGTGATACTTGCATCAGACTCAGGCACAGACAGAGACATAGGCAAGTCTGAACTTAATGGCATTGACGATGAGCAATATGATTCATGTATTACCACTTCTTTAATTTTGGCTGTCTATTGCTTACTTTTGCTATAGTAATGCTTCAAATAAAAGTTTATAAATAATAAAACACCCATGGAATAAACCTGTATATTCATTCCTAATATATTTTTTTAGTTTTTCTCATACCCACAGAAAATGATCAAGATGAAGAGCTTCTTTTTTTCTTCTACAATATAAATGTGGATAACCAACTCTGATTGGAATCTAATCCCTTATACAGGATTATTATAAAAGAAGTATACAGTAAAATTTCAAAAATTTATTGTGATCAAACTATTTCTGATACAAAAATAATAATTATATCAATGGAAACAGTAACTAACAGTAACAGCAACAAGATGGAGCACCACCACACTTCCACAGGTCTGTAACCAGTTTCCTAATGAAAAGCGACCTGGCTGTGGAGGTCCAAAACCATGGCCTACCAGATCACCTGATCTGACACCAATGGACTTTTTTTAATGGGGCTTTATTAAAGATCATGTATATGTCCCTCCCCTGCCATCTAATCTTGATGACCTGAAAAATTAGATTCATTGAGCCATATTATCCACTGACCAAGATACCTCATGGAAAGTGTGGAAAGAGTTTGAATATTGTTTGGATAGTGTCAAGGTTTCCCACAGAGCTCATATTGAACATCTACAATCAGAAAGAAAAACCCTTTGTGAGTTACTGTTTCCATTGACATTATTATTATTTTAGTATCAGAAAGTTTGATCACAATAAATTTTGAAATTGTATACTACTTTTACAATAACCCTGTACATAAATAGGAAAGACTTCAGAGGTTACAAGAGAACAGAATGAGATGAAACAATCCAAGCAAACCAAGGTATTTTTTGTGACAAAGGAATGAAGTGCGATTCCTAATAAGAAAACCTCCATCCTTCAAAACTCAGGAATTTGAAGAAAATCACAACTCAAGTAAACTTCAATCAAGAAATTCAATAATCTATTTCTCACCACTAAACTATTATCAATCCAACCAATCAGAAGCCATACTTCCATATCGGTGTACAAGCTCATCCACACTGCAATTTGTAAGACACTCTGAACTACCCAGCTTAAGCAGCTCTCAGGCAATGATATGAAATCACCCAAATTTGGCACTGGAAGCTGCTCTCTTCCATACAAGGGAACACTTGATGCTCATCATCTACCTCAGATTGAAGATTGGTGAGGTAATCAGCACATGGAAGGCTGTTGCTGTTGAGAGTAAAAACTCCATGGAGGTCATCTGGGGATTCTTCTTGACATGCTTCATAGAAGTGGAATGCAAAGATGTCCTGAAGAGCCCGGGGACCTGATATTGTCGATGACAGGACTCTACACCAGTCTTGACAACTTTCATTCCGCTCAAATGTTAGCCTGCAAGAACAGAAAGGTAAGATCAATTACATTCAAGCATCATATGCAATTAAAGTAAAGGAAAGTTGAAGCTCCTTCATCTTCAATTTCACAGAAATCCATAATTCCTTTTAGATGGGCCAGGAGTTGTGAAGCTATGGCTCATGAGTCATGGCTAAAAATCATGGTTGTTCCTCATTTTTCTCATGTATCAAGGAATGCACATCTATTACCAACTTAAGAGAAATTTATGCCATTTTGAAAATATTTGACATGTGAACACTTAGCTAATCTTAATATGGCTCACATGGCCAAAAAAGTTCCTTGACCCCTGAGATTAGGGTAAAAGCATCTATGACATAACAGCGAACTTATGACTGGGATCACAATATGAGTACATATAAGTTTAATATGGCCTTCAAACCTTCTAGCTTCCAATGGTGCCAACTGTGAGAATGTCCAATCTCATAATTGGGAGACACCAGGAGTAAATCTATAACCTCTCAAAGCATGCACATCCAATGTAGCAGTACTCTAAATTAACTTATTTTCCTGTGGAATAAGAATTCAATGCAGAAATCAATATCTCATGTGAAGCCCTTCTCAAGTAAGGTTGTCTCCTTCATTTTCTTGAATTTCTTCTGTTCATGATATAGCACTTACTTCAGACCAATACTTTGAAATTGTGCAAAGTGATCATGGCCAATGCATGTCTTTCACTCAATAGCACATTCATTCCTTGTTAGGAAGTACTGCTTCTGAGGGCGACCTCACAAATTCATAGTTTGGTAACACTGCATATTTACACAGTGTAATTCTAGGTACTGTCTGAAAATAGGTGATTCACACTACCAGTGAATAGCTATTTTTAAAAAAGGTATTTCCTTCACCTTTTCACCATATAAGAAACCTAAATTATCCATTAGAGGTTTTTTAATTTTTTTATTCATATTCACACAGATTTCTGTTGACTTCCATATCCATGAAGGTGAGCTCAGTGCCAATGAGTCAAACAAAAATCAGACTTGGATAGATTCTTCAGCAAGGTGGTACTCCTTTGTCTTGTGCAAACCTGGCTTGGTGCTGAACACACTGTAAGAGCCCATAATTGCAAACAGATTGTGGGTGTTGTACGTGTACATACTACAACCTACACTGTCACTTTAAGAGTGAGTGCTGTTCTCCCTCATGGGAAAGGGAGTGATCATGCGCTGCAGTAGGATTTCCACACTTAATGTGGAACGTGCTGCTCCACATAACGGCAAGCAGGTACAAGTAGGCACACTGATTTCTGCAATTAGGCAGAAGCCCCATTCCTGTAGCATACTGAATGGCAGAAGTGTCATACTACAGGTGAGATGATAGAAGGGCCTTATCCGGATCACGGACTGTCATTCTTTGGTGAATCGGAACTATGAGAATCCCACTTCTGATTCTGTATGAACAGGTTTAAGCTTATATAGGCAGGCTGCACTGTAGCCTGTATCACCTTCCCAATCTCAGATGAGATGAAAGTGATAGTGCAAGGGATGTACAATGTTTCTGGATTGACTTTAACCCCACCTCCATTCCATGACACTGTTGCCTGCAGTGAAGTGAGAGACATTTTGCCTTTATCATCATAACTAATGATGTGCTAATAAGTTTCACAAGCAGCACAACGGTAGAGGTGTAAATGGGTCAGGTTGTAAGATCCTATATTGAGTATGACACTGTTTGCATAAACAGAAAGTAAGAATTGTATAATAAGAAAAATAAAAAATACTGTGGGAATTCATATCGACTCGGGCCAAATCTGTACCATTTGGCAGCAGGGATCATGAAAAAATGGAAAAGACAAGTAAATATAGGGACTTGAAAGGACATAATGAGTGTCCTCTCTCCCCCCCCCTCCCTGGTACAGAAGATGGGTGACGGACTTCATCGTGGGATTGAGATTTTCACTCATAAAGATATTTTCTGAGTGAAAGGAAAATATGGAAAAGAAAACCTCAAATGATACAGAGGAAATGACACCGAGCATATTCGCCTGGAAAGCACTTCTGTAACGAGTGCTAAGGTTTTTATTATTGAAATAACTATCTTCAATCAAGCCTGTTAAAATGTAACTAGTCACTTTATATTGAGCAGAAATATATGATTTTGCCATATACTTTACACAATACTTTTTCAACTCCAACACTGGTCACTGACCACTGTCTTACAGCAAGATTGAGCACTAGATTATGCTTCTATTGCTTGAAGCAACATCTATAAGTACTACTTTGCTGAGCACCAACAAGGTCCATTGAAAAGTATGAACCCCATGTTAACGGGGGTTAAAGTCATTTCAGAAACACTGTAATAGGGATGAGGAGAATGTCACCCTAAACACAAACTAGTAAATTCCTTCCAGTTTCAGTTCCCTTGCAGGCCAATGACAGATTTTCCTTAGTTTCACAAGTTCAACAGATGACAGAGTTAGGTTTTTTGTGCTTGTGAAAATGTGAGAGGGGATTGCTGTTGACAAGTTAAACCTGGGCAACTTCATGAAGGGATAGATATTTGGGTACACCAAAGTTGATAAAGTTCACAGATGTTAGGGTAATGTCTGACTAGAAGGAAAAAGGCAATTGTAGGAGTACTTCTATCTCTTTTATGTGCAGGCAACAAGGTCTACTGGACATTCATCCTCCTAGGGCATTCCACGTCAAACATGCGAGAGAAGGATCAATCCTCGTTGGAAAGTAGGGTTCACATAATGAAGTCGAGATTCATGAGCAGCGTTCACAGAATTTCAGTGTGCACAAGACGAAGGAATACCAATGGAGGCCCCAGATGGGATCCTAAACAATGATCTTATTTAGCTGATAGAAGACTTCAAAGCATAAGTTGGAAGAGATGAAGCTATGTAGAGTGATAGGCAGTTTCAGAGAATCCACACTGAATGGGAATGGAAAGAGCTGCCTGTTTCATCACAGGGTTAAATCTGTCGTAAGTTTGATCTCAGCCAAAGGCCTACCTGACAGATCGTCCATCCTTGCAGTGAATGTGGAGAAAGAAGATATCACGTGTTTCGACTTGCTCAATGAGTCCAACCGGAATGCTGAGAGTTGTGGATGGGGAATGGATGAGAAGTCTGTAGTTGGACAGAGTCACAATACCTTCACTCACTTTCCCTTTGCGTTGCAAATGTTCACCACACACTGCAGGGAATGGGGTTTCTAAACTTTCCATTCCCTTTGGGAACTCCGATTCAAAGCTTTGTAGGCCTACAAAGCATAATGACTGCTCCATTACACTAGTCCTTGACCACTGTTAAAGGTTATGATGCAGGCAATGATCGGTCAAAATTCATCCGTCTCTCCTCTCCCCAGCAAAATAGGCTTCCGCCAATCGTTCAACAGGGCCTAAAGCCTAGGCTAGGCATGTACTTGAAAAGAAATATTGGACACAATCACGTTCCATGTCCTGAAAATAGTAAAATCGTTCCAAGGGCCACGAGTTTCCGGAATCTAGCTAAAGACACATTCCATGAGTTCGTGAAGTAGGTGTACGATATCTTCGTGGAAGAAGTCACTCCTGAGAACGAATGACAACGTAGGCTAATGCTGAAACCAGCTCCAGAAGGCATGGATACGTGAACTTCTCCGACACATCCCTCTCCTCAGAAACCAAAGACGCCATGTTGGGGATAGGAGACCAGCCTCCACGTGGTTCCTTCTCTCTCCGCTAGGTGGAGACCGGCGAGTGTCGCAAGATATTTCTTCCTTTTTCGTTTTCTCCCCTACGGGACGCCAGGGTCTTTCGTGGCCTGACCGAAATTGAGATTCTCGAGGCGTAAATACGGCTCGTGATCACAAACTATTATTGAGATTGGTGATCGTATTTTCCGAAAGATTTTCCGCTATCTTCGCTCTCACTGACCTCGGAAATGTCCTATCGAGGACAACATCGAGGTGATGCAACTACATCTCCCCTCAAAACTTTAGAATGCAATATACCGTGACGGCGACTTTGTTTCTTCTATGAGAAAAGTCTCATGGGTTCAGCCGATCTAGTGCAATGAGCGGCGCCCAAACCAGAAAGCATTTTTATACAGGAGCAATTTTATTTTTGCTCAATTTCTCACCGAAAGCAAGACTAAGCAAATGACGGACTCCGTGTGAATCGGTTTCGTCAGTAGATGCCCACATGACCTTGGATGAGACAAAAACCTGCTTTCGTCTCCCATCCCCACGTCCAAAGCGTGTTTTTACCTTCGTGAACTCCATCGGTTGAAAGGCCTTCTAGGAGGGAAGAAATAATCATATTATTAGTAACATCGTTAGTCGCTATCATGAGAAAGTTTTGGCTACCCGTTCCTGAGCGGACGAGAAGGGTTGCGGAACGAGTGACGTCATCGATGACGTCACCCTTCATCAGGCGACCAGATTGACCTAAAAACACCTTTCGTGCTTCGTGTTCCCGTTAACACGACGATGAATTCTTGCTAATCGTGAAGACGACGCGTAGGCCACCTCAAATTTTTCGTCCACAAGCCGCCACTTGGCACTATCATGCCTATATACCAGCATCATACCGACGTGGTAGTATCCTAGCCCCTTACCCTCGGACATTCCATTCTGTTTAGAGTCCTATCCAAGCGCAGCGAGTGGTCTGTTCAATTCAATAGAACTACGTTGAAATCTCCATAGAAGTCTGTAGGTTTCTGAACGACACGTTTGTCTGGGGCATCCGAAATAAATAGAATGGTGCAGGTTGGAGAGCCAAATGCATTAATTCTCTACTTTATTTCTAAATTTCAACAAACGAGAAACGCAATAAAAAGTACACTTACGACAGCATCTTACGTGAATTTTATTTACTTGAATGCGAAAAACGTTACGTGGTATCCGGCCCGCGGGCCGTACTCGGGCCAACTCTGGTCTCTGCGGATGCGTTCTCGTCCTTTATTTTTCTCGCACAAACTTATTTAATTGAACCTTTTTTTAAGCGACGAGGTGCCGATCCACCTGAAGCCCCCCTCGGGTGCGGAGTGGCGTCATTCGACGCTTTCGCTCGGCTCGCCCCTCGCAGCGAATGCTTCCGAGTCGGAACGGGTGGAGATGCGATCGGTTCCCGAACGGAAGAGGAAGAAGACGTGTGGAGTCCGGCGATTTCTCCTCCTCGGCCTCACCCTCTCGCGAGTTCCCACGGGGACGGGAAACTTCCGAGTCGCGTCGTTCGAGGCGCAACGCACGAGGCTCTCCGACCCGCCACTCGTTTCCGAGAGGAAGACGAGCGAGCGAGCGGAAGCGGAAGGGGTGAGGCTACGGCTCCCAAGAGGTGAGGCTACGGCTCCCAAGGGGTGAGGCTACGGCTCCCCCGACGGTCCCAACACGATCGTGTTCGTTCCGGACGGAAGGGAGCGAAGCGGAGGACGATAGAACGCACGCGGAGAGTTCGGTCGACGAGGAATGCCGATGGTCCTCGTAACGAGGCGTAAACACTCCAGAAGATAAAAAAAAAGACAATAAACAACTTAAACGAGACTCGAGATGATAAAAAAAGAGGAAGTGAAGGAATGCTAATAGAAGCGGAGAAGGACGTACAGGGAGCCAAATCGCACGATCGGAGGACCACGTTTCGATCGAGAGGTTCCAGGTGATTCCTAAATAATTGTCGAGAGAACGTTTCTCGCGATGTCACTTCTGGGTCGAGGTGAGGTCAAATCTTATTTCAGTTTTCTTCTATGGGTACGTTCACCACGGTTCGTGTACTGTAAGAGAGAGAGAGAACCAGAAGTCGGCGAAAGTGAAAAGAGGTTGGGGGGGGGGGGGGGAGGGGGGCATCTCCGTTTTGAGAGTTCCCTGGGGCCCCAACATCACCCACTCGTCATTTGCGAAGTCGAACGTTTTCCTCCGGCCGCTCATCGGTCCGTCGATGCGTCGCGATGCCCGATAAAACGTACCGCGACGGCGCTACCGTTCTCGTGCGACCCATTTCCTCCCCGGATCGTTCCCGGAGTCGACCGAGATCGCGGTCGAAGGGCCGCTCGAGATACGCAGAGGGCCACCGTCCGTCCGAGCGTCGGCTTCCGCGGCTCCGTGGATTCCTTCCCTCGTGAATGTTTCATAAAGGATTTCTCCGAAGGGAAGGTCGTCGAGTCGGATCGTCCGGTGTCGAAATCCGACTCGCCTCGAGCTCACCGCTCGTTCCCGGCGGAGAGACGGAAAAGACCGCACGAAAAAATCCCGTGTCGCGTGGATTCGCTCTCCGACTTTTTCACGTCTCCGAACGAACTTCGATTACCGATTGCCATTCGGTCGCGTTCGACTCGAAGTTCGGCACGGCGATCGCGACGAACGAAAACGATTTTCATCCGAAGCCCTTACTTTTCCTCTCTTCCTTCTCTCGTCCGCGCGGGTAAAGGGGACGGACCGTTCCGCTGCCCGACGCACGAGGACGAGGAAATCAAAAACGAATCACAAAAAGTTCTACCTTTCAAAAGACGATAAAATCACGCTTCACAGACGTACGACCGAATACGTTTTTGATTCGGATGGGTGCGCAAGCATCGCAAGAAAGGTGGACGAAATCCGTTCCGGACGAAATACGATCAAAACAGAACGCGTTCGGCGACGAGAAACGAAGAAACGTTCCCACGTTCCCGCCTGGCTATCGCCCTCACGACTTCAATAAATGCGAGACGATCGACTCGGTGGTGTTCCCTCCCGGGAATCGGATGCGAACGCTCCCCGAGGATCCAAAAATCCACAATCCAACACGTCTCGTCGACTCTTTTTTTTTTAATAAATTTTCTCGTAGGGTCAATTTCGGAGAATTGGAATCGATTCGCCCGGTCCCATCGACTCCGAATCGACGGACTCTCCCTCCATTTTTTCTGTCTTTTGCAGAAGAGAGACGATGTCTATTCCCAAAGCGAAAAAAAAAAATACCGGAGGCATAACTCCAAAAGCTTCCGAGTTGAAACTTTGCAGGACGGTGGAAGAAAACGGGACTACGGGGCCACATTCACTTCATTTTGAAGAGAACCGAGACGAAGCCACCGACCGAAAACCCATTTTCTTCACTTTTTCACCGATTCTGATGCAGCTTTTCCCAGGAACTCCACTGATTCTTTCTTTTCTTTCATCTTCGGGCGAGTTCAAGACCGGGAAATTCGAGGAAAGGGATCAGAAGGCCACAATCTAGAAGAAATAAAGGTCCTTTCATGGGGTGGGGTTCACGCGTGCAAATACTTTTCAGGACACTTTCCGAGTCTTTCTGTTGGTTCCTCTTGCACGTCCGAAGGCTTATCCTTGAGAAGTTCCAGGAAGGATAGCCCTCGTTTTGGAAGGCCTCTAGTACACCACTGGATTTTCTCCTTTTTTTTTAACCCCCTTGTGTCATTTGAAGCACAGAGCATTTAAGAAGAAATTGGGATCTAGCACAATTCCTGCTCGAGGGAGCAGGAATTGTGCTTCTCAAAGAACCGTCTGCTTCTCCATCCTGCTGGAAAAATGTGACCTGTTAAAATGCGACCCGAAAAGTGTTAGCACTCGAGTGGAGCACTCGTGCACATCCACCTACGAATATATTTTTACTACGTATTTCTTTTTAATTTTAGGGTGGCATTTTAATCGCTTTCGTCGAGTTCGCAGCCGTTAAACCTGCAGACGAAACGAAAGAGAACAGAATCGGTGGAGTTCCCGGGAGAAACCGGGTCAGGATCAGTGGATCGGTGAAATAATGCGGAAAATCACTTTTCAGTCGGTAGCTCCTTGTCGATTCCATCCAAAATGAAGGTGTGACTCTGGAAAAAAAAGTTAAACCATCCTGCTAGGTTTCAACGTGGCAACTTTTGTAGTTGAGACTCCAGAATTTTTTATTTCTGGCAACTGTGTCCATCCTGTCCCACTGGGAAGCCCATTGCTTTACTTTTGCGTCTATTAGAAACAGAACGAAGGGATGAAAGGTTCCCAAGCAGATTCCCTTCCATACCCTAGACCCTCATAACAGGGCCGATTCCTTACTTTTTCCATTCCCAAAGCAGGCTCAAGAGCCGGGCGTTTAACATCTGACGAGGCGTTCATCCTTGACGCGATTTGGTCATTTTTTCTCAACGGAATCTACAGTCTCAAACGCCTCGGGGCACTGACTTTTCTCGTCGTTGCACGATTCCATAGGAATGCTTCCAGAGCAAACTAGTAAGTATAGCACGAAGTGATATTCCTTCCATGTTTTTTTTTTTCCTTCCCCTCTGGAGAATCCACTGTTAAGCACTATAACGTTAAATAAATTTCGATCCACTAAGAGAAGATGCGCTTTACCGTCTAACCGCACGAAGAAGTTATCTTACCAACATACCCAGTAGTCATAGATCGGTAAACCAATGACTAGGGCCGGATTCATTCTCAGAAATGCTTCTTTGATTATCCAGTACCAAGCACGCAAGCCCGATGCCATTATGCTTGAAAAAAAAATTATTAATTTTTGCCGACCCTTGGCTGAAATATTGACTGCGGCCGGCCGGAATGAATACATGCAAGAGGCTGCATGCAGTCGCGCTGCGATGCCTATAAAAATTCAGGTAGCAGTGTGACACCAGTTTCAGGAGTTCTGACACTCCATGCTCTGTAGCACATCTCACAAGCAGAAATCATGTAGTCTGGTAGTTTTTTTTCTTTCAATTTATTCCTCTTGTGAGAAAGTGATTCCATGGACACATTCCTTTAAACTCAAGGAAGGTCACATCTCAATCATTTGCTCATTAGGAACATCCTCATGAGAAACAATGCATGTAGAAAAGACCATACCATTGCATAGGAACCTTAATGATACCACATCATGTACAGATACCATATCAAATTCTGAAAAAGGCTTCCAACAGAAAACTTCCAAATGCAATCACTGCAAAACAAGTTCCTTTTCACTGAAAATTTTCTCTTGAATTGTGCAGGAATTCCATTTCAGTACACACTTTGGGAACAACCCAAAAATGCAGTATATTACAATATACTATAAGACCACTTAGATTGTAGGATCTGTGCATAGCTATCCAGTTCTTTACCATGAGAATCCCTCAAAATTTAACTGCACACTGCATTTCCAATACTGAACACTGGAGTGCAATTAGAAGACAGACGAAAGACACAGGCTTCTTACTCTCTCTCTCAAAAAATAATTACCATAAAGGTATATCAATGTTTGCTGCTTGAGAAATCTTACATGAATGCAGGAGAGATTCTGGGAGAACTCATATGTCATGAAGACGTAATTTTAGGCAAAAAAAACCTGAAATGTCATAAGGTTACAAAGACATCCAACCTAAGTACAGAGAGAGCCTGCAAGATAATTGGTGAATTGAAGCTGAAAATACAGGTTCCATTAATCACAAAAATGATTCTCCTACAATACAGTACTATACTGTAAGCAACCTACACTTCAGTCCTTTTGCAAGATCTAATTACCTTGATCCTCTCATATGTTGCAAAACTCAATAAATTCAGTCTTGGTGACCAAATGAGTCAGATAGATAAAAGCAAATTCACAAAAACATCATTCAACAAGTTAAGTATAAAAAACAATAAAAAAAATTTTAAAGCACAGAATGGGGGGAGATCAAGGTCAGCTTCAACTTCTTTCTTGATTCCTTCCACAGCAGCATCTGAGAAAATAAAAGAAAGGAGAGAACTGCAATTAGACTGAAACATTTTCCTGAGTCCATTAATATTATTCAGATTGAATCTTTCCTTTGACATGCTTTCACCCAACTTCACTGCACATATCCCATTATAACATGACCTTATTGCATAATATTTATGGAGGGCTGTTTGTCTTTTATGGAAATGAATTGATAAGAGATTTACATGTCTAAGTAGCTCCTCCATTCCTTATTATGCTTTATCTGGCACCCATGGTTCTTGACAATAACTCTGCATTCAACTTTCTAAGATAGCAAGCTCCTCTGATGCATTGTGAGATCCAAATGCTACCACTTTTCCTAGCACACTTTCCAGAGACCATCTGAAGTGTGAGGTCACTGATTTCCCGGCCAAAGGCACCGAAGTCCATCAGTGCAGCATCTGGGGACTTCATAGGAATGCCCATGAATGGTATTGCTGTTATTCCTGTGGCTTCTTCCATCTGGCTTAAGGAGGCTGCAGTTGCCAGGAAGTGTGGCTCAATGCCTCATCATGGTGCAAAGATACCTTTGGAGTCTCTGATCTATACAGATGAGGGTTTTCTTTAGGAAAAAATTGGCCTCAAAACTTGTTCTAAGTTATACTGGGAATTAATCTTCATTCTTTGCTGCCCAGCAGATTTGCAACTTCCCATTAAAGCAAAACCCAGCAACAACCATGGATTCAAGCAAAAAAACTCTCCATGCACTCCGGGAACCACTTTTGATATGTCTTTGTCTTTCAACCCTTTCCTTTATACAGATGGATCACATAATACAAGGGGGCACTAATAAAGATGTAGACTTTTTCAAGTAAATGCCTGAGAAAAAACCTCAGCAACTTCATTTCACTTAGATTTCTTCAACATATTCACCTTTCAGCAAAACAGATTCTTCCCATCTTTTCACTCATCTTTAATATTCCTCTTAGAACCATTATTTTGGCTGTCTTTTGAACTATTTTGTTTATAGCCTTTTACATGTCCTCCCTGTCTTGATATTGAGGTCCACAAAAGTGTGTTAAAGAGGGATATGAGGAATGGGAAAAATGACAGAAAAAGATTATCTAGCTGAAGATGAGTATTTTGAGAAAATCCATGTGGTATACTTTGGGATGTACTTGGGGGTCGATATAAAAAAGTTTACAAAATTTGTGCCCCTCACATGTGAATGGCCTTTTTTGTGTCACATGGCAAAAGTGTGCAGAATGCAATACTGGCTCATGATTCACCTACCAGTCAAGTATAGTCCTTCTATTCCTGTTCCTCTCCTGCATCTTCATTCTGAAATAAAGGAAATAACAAGATCAAAATGAATTCTGACTGTCTCACATTGGTATACATTCACATTTGTGCTAATTATTATTATATTCATTAAGTGTAAATAATGAATAGTGGTATACCAAGGAACATCTTGTTTTGTGTAAATAATGAATAGTGGTATACCAAGGAACATCTTGTTTTGCCATGTATGAAGAGAAGAAAGGAGGGAGGAAGCATGGGACACATTGCTTCCATAAGGTGATCAAGAAGTTATGCAACGCTGATAGTAACTAACTCTGGGTGCCTTTTGCCATAAAATACAGTGAAAACTTGCCAACTCGAACTTTTTGGGACTGGAAAAATTGTTTCAAGTTATCCCAAGTTTAAGTTATCAGGAATTGCCCCCCCAATGAAAAAAATCCTCCCGTTAAGGGATATAAACAGAGGGAGATTTTTCTGTCCTTAAAAATCTGATTTCATGGAGCAATGACCTTCCCATTATAATTGGTTTTTATTCATTTTGAGGAAAACTTAAATTCTCCATGTACAAAAATAATTATTATAAAGCCTTTTATCTGGGGCTCTTTGGGTTTTACCCATTTCTGACATGTAATTAGTGATCTTCATTTGCTTTTTAAAGAAACTAGCAATCAAGAAGTGGAAGTCCTCCAATTTGCCAATTGCCTCGAACAAGTTGACTGGCACTTCCCCTTGCAAGAGGAGGAATTTTCTCACAATCGACAGTGCTTTATTAGCATCATTCAAAGATGGTGGTAGGGCATTGAGCCTTCTTTGACAGTCCGAAACAAGTGCACCTTCTCTTCAAGTGTCTAAGTTTTCAGTTTCCTCTCGAGTGGGCTCATTCCACACCAATGGCAAAAAAGAAATAGAATATGACTAGATTGGCTTGAAGCAAGAGCAATAGACAGACAGAGAATGCTGGAAGTTGCTTCTTTTTATAGGCTGAAGCTTTCCAGTTTTAATCCTCAAGTTTAATCCACAGGCATCTATGTGGGAGGAGGGAGAAGCAGAATAAGAAAACAATAGAAACAAAAGAACATCCTCCTGAACGGGTTTCTCATCATCTGTCCTATACAAACAATTAAAAAGTCCCACAATGATAATTTCCCCCCCCTTCACACCCTGAACTTGAGTTAACCGTGAGAAAATCATTGCAGGGAGTGGAAATGCTATTTGGAAATTCGAGATAACCAAATTCAAGTTAAATGGAGCATTTAACATGGAGTCCTATGGGATTCCACCAGGACCAAGCAAGACCAATCGAACTTCAAAATAAGTGGAATTTTGACTTATTAGGATTCGAGTAAACAAGTTTTCACTGTAATAGCATAAGTCATAACAATCACTTGTTTCGTCTGTTTCATTCTTGCATTGGCACAACATTCATTGAGCCAAGGTTCAAGATGCAGTAAATAAGTGTGGGGTACATAGGTGATGACATCCAAAAATATGAGGTGTAACTATTAAGTTCCAGGACAGATTTTTTTGTGAAAGTTGTGGACTAGTCAGACAGGAGTGACCAGCTTTGCCTGAATGTACAGTTTTGTTGGCAAGCTCTGTTTTGACATATCTTGACATGTCAACACATGCACACGGCACTCTGCTGCATGGACCTGCAAGTCAGTTTGTCACAAGTGCATGAATGGTACGGATGGAGCAACGAATCAACATCAAGTATTGTTTCAAATTTAGGGAGACAGTAACCAAGACACACAAATTACTCAAGATGGTTTATGGCAAGGATGTGGTGTCATGTTCTAGAATGATTGAATGGTTTGCACATTTTTTTGATGGATGGGAAGAGGTTGGGGATGACCTATCTGAAGGTTGTCCTGTCTTGTGCTGCACTGATGCCAATGCTTGGGTTTGCCAACTGGTATTGGCAGATTGTCAGATTACTCTGAAGGTTTTGGCCTTGGGTAAGGAAACAGGTCAGCTGATCTTAACTCAGGACCTGAACATTAGGAAGGTCATTGTAAAGTTCATCCCAAGAGGATGAACTTGCAAGACAATGGAGCAGATGGAGAAATGCTATGCTCTTTGCCAAGATTTGTTGGACACTGCAGCCAAGGACAACAGCTTCTGCACTTCCATCATTGCTGGTGATGAGTTGTAGTGCTTCCAGTAAGGCAAAGGAAACCAAGCAGCAGAGTGTCAAATGGAAAGGCCCAAACTCACCCAAGCCAAAGGCTCAAGTGGTAAAGTCAGATATGTCTTTGACAGTGAGGGGATAGAGAATCATGAATTCGTTCCACAGGAACAAACAGAGAGTCAACACTTCTACAAAGTAATTCTGCAGTGTCTCAGGATGAATTTTCGAGATCACCGACCTGGCATGTGGTTTTTGGGAAATGATTTCTTTTGACTGACAATGTTCCCACGCACACTGCAGTGATAGTGCAGGGCTACCTGGCCAAGAATCAAATGTGAGTGACTGAACATCCAACTTATTCTCCCAATCTATACCCTTGTACTTTTTATTTGTTCCATTATTTGAAGCTTTCCTTGAAGGACCATATTTTTGACAACATTGAAAACATCAAGACCTCTGTGGCAGCAGCTGCACAGCATTCCAAAGGATGACTTCCAGACATGCTTCCAACTCCTCCAGAGGCACTGGGTAAAGTGTGTCCAACTTTGAAGGTGATCCCAAACAGTAGCTGGTAAAGTGAGCCTCACTGTTATAATAAAATCAGTCCTGGAACTTGATGGTCGCACCTCTTATACTTAGTCCATCTTGATAACCTATTCATAGTAGTTCTTCACCATATTTCAGATTTGACTGATTTGCAATATGGCTATTTGAATTAGAAATCTATGTTGAATGCTACCAAACTATCATTTTTCTGGAGGTTCATGAGGCTTTACAGCACCCTGAGCTGTTTTGTCTAAGCACCACACCTCCTCTTACATTCAACTTAGAAGTAGGCTTGCTTCCACAATGTTTCCTAAGAAATTATGTTACTGGCGCTAGCCCTACATGCTGTAACCATGATGCAAAAGGCATATGAAGCAGATTTGTGACTTCCACTAAACCAATTTTAATTTCAAAGACTAACAACATGGCCTCCTTTCACTAGCATCCATCTCAATTATGCTTTCATTTTTTCTAAAAATTTTTTCCTCAAAATGGCTGATGGTGTTCTATCTCAAGCTAAATGGGCAATATAATTTTCAGGTGAAAATCTGCATGAAATAACTGCCACCAAATAAATAAACCAGGTATCTGTATCAAATATAAATAACACCACCATGAGCCCATTAAAGGAAAGAAAAGAGAAACTCACATGGTCCAGAAAGTGTGAAAAAACAGCTGAAAGTTGAGACCTGAGGGATTCCCATTTCTCTTTGTATGCTTTCTTGTCTTTGGCTTGCAAATCTTTCCACTGTTTCAGTAAGGTCTCTCTGCTAGCTTCTGGGTGAGATTTTTTGTACTCTTCCATGAACAGACCCCGTGCTGAGCTGCAGGGGAGGAAATCAACATGAAAGGCACTAAATAAAGGAGAAATGCTTATGCTAATTTCAAGCAAAATGCATCCAGAGCTGCAATAAGAAACAAGTTGGGAAAAGCCCCACTCATTATTGTGTCTTCTGAGAATAACTGACATAGATGATGAAGAAAAAAAAAGTGGAAATGAAGAGTAAAAGAGGAAAGGGAGTAGAAAAGGATGCCTCAAGATGGTAAGTACAATGGAGTGGTTGGAAGTTGTAATGGAGATATCCACACATCACAAGAGCAGGCCCATCTAAGGGACTGGGTTGGAAAAGAAAGAGATCATATGAGTAATAGGATATTGGTAATGGTAACAATGGTAACAATCCAACCTGGCAGAAATGCAATTAGAATCATCAGCTCCTACATACAACATGCACCCTTAGTAAGGACTTTCCAAGATTGTTCACTTCTTCAGCACAGTAGAAAAAAAGGAAAATACATATATGCACTGTCTTCACTGGATTAGTAAAGGGTACATACAAATGCTAAAATGTTTACCACACAATTATTACTGCAATAGGTGTCAATTATGCACTTGCATTCACTGACACTTCAAAATGAGGGCTTCAGAAGTAGAGGGAATCAACCTGCATACTGTTTTTTCTTGACTTCTTACAGTGAAACAGTGTAAATACTTCAACCATAACTGTACAATTATGAATGAGGAAAGAAATGCAGTTTCAAAAAACATATATATGTATCAAACATCAAGTGGCTGTGCTATAAAAAAAAGTTTCATTCAAAGTTATAAGTCCATACCCTTAAACTTGAACTTATAAGAATTACACAACTTTTTCTTCTAAGACACTTATGCAAGGCTTTGAGTGACACAGACATAGTTGCAAAGACTGAGAGAGATCCCCCTCTCAACATACAGACACTACTTAAGGCATTTTCTCTCATATGCCTCTGCTTATTCCTCCTTTTTCTCACTCATTTTTTGCCTTGATTATCCATGACACTATAAAAAAGGAAGGTGAAGGAATGGGGCTGAACTCACTTAGGTGGTTGATGACCATCTTCATGGTTCAGAGCTCCCTGGTTCCTCTCCTTCCTTCTCCCAGTTTCTTTCACCTGTTCACGAGCCAGGGCTTCATACTTCAGCTGTAATCAACAATATAAAAATGCCCCTTCTCCTTCATTTTCTGTAATACATCTTTACACATCTGTCAAATGAAAGTGGATCAGTTGGCAAGTTCACCTTCTTTTTGTTGGAAAGACTAGCAAAATGCTCTAGCACAAGCATTCGGAGTTCATGGGGCGAAAGAGTTGGGAACTCCTCCTTGAATTGGGCTCCTTTAGCAAAAGCATAGAAATACTCTGGGGTTTTCAGAAAATGTGATTCCTTGGATGCTGCAGTAGTCTTGCTCTTCTTGCTTGGAGGGGGAATCAACAAGTCATCCAGTGTCTCTTCCTTCGATTCCAGGTATGATGCATATAGCAACTTGTACTCTTCTCTCAGCTGCACAATGTCCACAAAACCAAGGGGTACAAAGCTTTGTCACTATGAACAGGTATTTTGATTATGTGAAGATATGGACAAAGACAGGAACTAGAGGAAGGGGATGCACCATACCCCTATGGTGGATTTACTGATCCTTCTTACAATTTTCATTTTACCACCTCTGAAGAAGGAAGGCCACCAATCTCCAAAATGAGGTCATAGGTCTTTATGGGTAAATGTAATTTGACTGCTGATTCTGCAAACAGTCTCTTCTGAATGGCTGATAGCAGAAAGATCAAGAAGCTTGAGCCTTTCCTTTCTCTAGGAGCTGCTTTTGAGGAGGATAAAGCAAGAGAGTGACTGGTGTCCTGCAATCCTTCAGATGTTATGAAATGAAAAATGTTAACATTATTGACATATTGGCCATGTGGGTATCAGTGCATTCCTACTGTAGTAGAAGTCTTCCCCATTCAAGTGTTCTCATCCTGTTCCCTATGTAAATTATTTCTAACAGTCAGGTGATACAAATGGTATGAGCACGTTTCATTCAAAAATTCCTCAAGTACCAAAACCAATCATGAGTAATGTACATAATTACAGATCATTTACTAAAGAGAATGAACAGTTAGATTTATCAAGTAGAGGGCTGTTCTAGGCACATATACCACAAAAAAGAATACCAGAATAATAAGCATTTTTAGAGGACATGACATGAATAAAAAATAAAATTATAATAATGAATTATGTAAAGAAAAAAGCTACTATTAGATGTGTCACCCATGAACAAACCCATTTAACCTTTTCTAAGCATATGATGCCAAATGGCATCATTGCTTTTAAAATGCCCCCAGAACCATCTAGTGAAGAGAATTAGTAAAATTCTATAGTTGAAAAATAGCGCTTGAAGTGCCCTTTTGAATGTATATGTGCATTGAAGTGGTTTGACTTAGACTTTGAGAGTACATATATCTGTGAATGTGAACTGTTTTCAACAACTGAAGAACTGTTTGCGGTAAGTATTTTGTGATTTGTTGCTTGGCTTTGTTTTTCAAAATATGATCAGTTGGGAAAATTTCTGTGAGTAAATACAGATGCTTTACACTAAATCTTGACAAAGCAGATGATGCCATATGGCATCATGTCTGTATTTTTTAAATTAATAAATAAATTTGTGAAATTCTTTTAGTATCTTATTGTATGAACCATAACTACCCTATGATTTCAAAATGCATTTTTTTTGCAGCATATTCCACAACTCAGCCCAGAAAGGGTTAAACAGGTAACTACATATTTCATGGCAATTACAGTTAACTTAAATTTAATTCATCCTTTTCGAGGAAATTCTAGCAAAATTCTGCCCCAGAATTTTTGAGAAAACTGGGGTAATATATACAGGGAAGGAGGCTGGAAGAACTTCCATTTCCTTTCACGAAAAGGAGTCTCCCAGGACATTGAAAAAAAAAATTAATACAACATTAGGAATTCCAAGTTATTGAGGTTAGGAGGATGATAAATTTGTTCAGATCATGAAGTCTCAACTAAGAGTCAGTAATACCATGCATTCTATTGGCTTAAAAGGGTTCTTACAGGGGTAGTGCCTGTAGCAATGAACCCATATAAACAGGGTTTAGAATAACAAATGTACACCAGTGTGATCAGCAATCCAGACCTCTAGGCAACAAACCATCCTAATCCTTTTTATTGTCCCTTAAGGAGCATGACTACCTGAAGAGCTCTGTTGGTGTAGATGGCTCTTTCTTCATCACTAAGCTCCTTCCAGAACTTAGATATCTCTTGCATGCGTTGCTTATTTGGCAACTTCTTCACCTCTTCATTGTCCAACATCATCCGGGAGAAATAGGAATACCCTGAGTTTGGTGGAGTGGCTGGTTTTCCTTTCCATCTGGAACAAAAGAAACAAAGAAACCATGTCTGCACATTTTGAAAACAAAGAATCTTACTATAACATCTCATGATGAGTTGTGAACTCACATGACTTGTAACAACATATTTGAAGTCATCAATGCCAAAAACTTATAGAACAAGAGACTTGAGGGAGACAATAAATAACAGAAGGCAAAAAAAAAGAAGATGGAAAATTCTAGTTCAGAAGTGAGTATTTGAATGATGTTGGAAACAAGAGGTGGATTGTGCAAGCAGGTAGATTTTGGGCATGGGAGGATGCTACACCATCCAGGATCACCAGATGTGGCATTGCACAAGTATGGTTAGCAACCCTGTCTACACGGCTTTGTGCAACCCCTTACTCAGTCAACAATTAGAAAGGCTGAACAAGAAAAGGCAGCTCTTGATGACATGACACTCTAAATGAGGCTGAGTCCTGTGCATGCATATTAAAATTGAAACCTATGAAGGATGACAGTTTTTGTTATAGCCAGACCACAAGAGTATGTCACACACAGGACAGGACATAGGACAATATAAATGGTAGAAATGGTAGGGACAGAAATGAAAAGGGGAAGAGGATCTCACACCAACATATCTGCATATTTCTGTTTCGTATTTTCACTCCCATACCTCAGTCATACCACAAGGTCAGATTACAAGGTCCACCCTATATCATTCCCATACTTCCATACCATAAAGTCCCATGGATTTTTGCTTCTGAAATAAAATAAGTTTGGTGAATCTGTTCTTTGTGACATATCTGAGAAGTCTCAGCAAAAGCAACAGAAATTCTTAGCAAATTGACTCACTCTTCCAACATCTTTCGCTCCTCACTATTCAGGATGTTCTTGATGGAAGGAATGGCATCTTCAGGGAATAAAGCATTATGAACTGACAATTCTTTCTACAAAGAAAAGGAAAATAAAAAGGAACATTGAAAAAATGGCAACCAACAGCAGGTGATACTGAGCATATGAGAGGAGAGAACTCACCACATACTGCACCAATCCTTCACGTGCTTTCATGATGTACTTCACCTTTCTTTTTGTCTTCAAGCCATCATACATCCTTCGACTCAGATCATGAAATTCTGCATGAGTCATCCCTGGGTCTGCATTTTTTTCCAGCTTTTCAGCTTGATATATCTGGCAATAAATTGGTCAATTAGACAGTTACAATGCATTTGCATGAGAAATAATAGGGATGTTGGCTTAAGAGTGCAAAGGTATCAAGGTTGCACCTGGAAGGGAGTCTTGGGTGGTGGAGGGAGATGGCTCCTCTTTGTGCCTCGTTTCTCCTCTGGGTGCATCTCACTGAAGTCATAAAGATCAATCATATGTGGACTCAACATCTACTTCAACAATTGGTGGCAATTGAAATTCCAAAAAATTATTTCATGTAAGTGTACATGAATTAGAATAACATGGTGGCCACATGCCCAAAGTGAAGGTCATAATCTGACTAGTCAGGATGAGTAAGAAATGTATGAATTCCTCCTTCTTGAGGTAATTTCATTTTCCCAGAAGGATGTCCAAAGTCAACTTTCAAATGCTTGTTTGAGAACATGGAACTAAATTTTTAAACAGCCATTTTGACAGCAACTGACAGTTTGACCTCATTTCCATGGAGGTCTCCATGATACATCTCTCAAAAAATACTGATGGGATTTGATTAATATCAATGGGTCAACTCAATTTTATTTTAACTCAGTCATAATTTTGTCATAAAAATGCAAATTATATTCTTCAAGACAATTTTTACCTGCAATATCAAATTTTAATATTCTTAAGCCACAACTTGGACAATCTGTGGTTTTGCCTTACTGCATGAAAACAATCTTCAAATTAAACTCCCTTTTTTACAACTGGACCTTTCCACTTTGATTGCCATTGCATGGAGCACAATGATGCCCTGATGTGTGCATGGTGGCATGATCATTGTTTCTGTCAACATTTGCTAGGAAACCTAGGAAGGTATATTTATCATGAGAAAATTCAGTTTCATCCAATATTGCAATTAGAGTATATTATTGTCAGTCTCAAGCAATCTAAGAAATGAATGGCCAAAAAAATGCATAAGCTTGCATTCTTCCTACTAGAGCTTCATAATACATTAACAGATTTTGAATCTGAGAACATGAGAAAATTTGATAGGATATAGGCTTTTATGGAGAGAGTAAGGGACAAGCAAAAGCAAAGGGGAAAGGTCTGTTTTTATTTTTCAATTTCTTAGATTGACTGAAACAGACAATAGTACTTTTCATCACATCCCCATGGTCTGTATTTAATTTTCATAGTCATAGTCATTTTTATCACTTCAAATTGATACACCTGTAATTATGTTTAATCATGGTTATTGTTAACAAAGCTGGAAATCATTACATAAGAGGACTTTTGGCTAAGGTCAATGATCACTGGTTACGTTTTCCTTGGTTTTCAAACTTAGTTTTGGTTTAGAATAAAAGGTTACTTCTTGCTCAAGGCAACATGCTGGCATGGTGGACAAGCCAAAATACTGTAGCTCCCCTCCTCTTTAACCTGTGATGATGATGACTACTTCATAAAATATAACTGTCTTCACCATAATGAATGTTGCTATGAAATCAAAACAGGGGACAGATCCAGGGACAAGGATCATGAATGAAAGGGGACAGGGATCAAAACAGGGTGGGTAACATGCAGTCTCATACTGGCTCTTAGGAAGAGAAAATATTCTTTGTGATTTCATGGATGAGTCTGCACTATTGAGCCAAACCAGAGGTTATCTTCAGTGAAAATGACAATTTGAAAGATGAACCTACAATGCATGTGTCTATGACCAAAAGAGTGAGAAAACCACTGTGGTAGAGGAGCTAGAACTCTGGGCACCATCATGCAAAGACAGAGGCAGTAGTTATGGATGTTCAATTTTCCATTAGCTATGCAATACTTGCTTCACATAAATGAGGCTGAGCCTCCCAGAATACATTTTACAGAGGTTCATTTCTAAGCATGGGAAGCAGTCAAAATATCACCAAAAATTTTATTCAAAAAAATAGAGATTTCTATAGTCTAGATATAGATACATCACTTACTAGAATTCCTTGAGCTTCTCTTGATATTCAGCTCGGAGCTGTTCAGCCAACCGATCATATTTTTCTCTCTTCTTTGCTGACAATGCCTTGAATTTGTCTGCTATGATCTTTGTGACTTCAATCTGAAAAGAGGATTTATCACTAAATTTTGTCAGTCACATTACAGTCATAAACAGTCACATTAGGATTAGGCCTATTGTATAAATAAATAATAGATTTAAGTAAATCCAAATTCCCTCAACTTCATGAGAAGATACTTTTGGCAAACTTTGTGCTCAAAAAACCCCTCTATGAGATATTAATTACTAGGTGTTTCACCCTGAGCTATGCTACTATGTGACAATGTAACAAATCTTCAGACTCATTTGTAGATAGTAAATGTCATACAATTACAGACACAAAAGTAATATAGTCAAGGTATTTAAACAAGAAATTTCAAAATAGAACAAAGTATTTAAATAAACAAGGATAACTGACAAGTTGAAGAACATACCATACTTGCTCCTGGATTCTCCTGAAGAATCTTCACTTTTCTGTCCATGTAATACAGCATGTATGAGCTCAACGGCTTCTTAGGGAAATCAGGATGTTTCCTTGCTGAATCATTCTGTTTATTCTGAAAAAAGAAATATCAAACATAAGATAAGCAAGTTTTTTCTGCTTAGATAATCACTGATGATGCTGACACTTTGATCAATTTCCATGCTCAAGCTAAACAAAGCATGAAGAAAGATTCCCTGATCTGTGATCTCTTTTCAAGTTGTCTATAGCATAAACATATGGAACAGGACATTTAGGAACCTGTAACAGCAAAGCATCATGACATTGGCAATATCATGCCTAGCCATTTTCTCCATGGTGCCTTGCCTAGTCATGCTGATAAAGGTAAGACATCATAGCACTGACTGCCTTAGATACAGGAGTGACGCCTTCCAATTTCGAAAAGTCACATTTCCCTGATTGATAGGAATCAGGGAAAGAGACTTGAGATTCTAGTAAACCTACTCCCTCAGAGTCTATATTTTTTATTTATCAGATGGATTATTTAATCTGCATGGTACAGATGAACTTGATAATGAAAATAATCTTCACTAGTGGAGGTAATGTGGTTCTAATTGGGTCATCTTTCCCGTGAAAAAAATCTATTTTTGCACATTGGTTCATATTAAGCAGCTCTTTCATAGGAACAATACAAAGGAAATAATAACTGCACTGGCTAGGGCGATGACACGACACTGAATCCCTGTTGGCAAGTAAATAGTCAACAGTCCCTAGTACCCAGACTAATTTTTATTGAGCTACCCTAAATACTGTACATATTGTAGGTCTGCTCCCATTTGTTTATTGGTTTAATGCCTATGCAAACATGTCAAGTAGTGTGGGTTGTGAGTGGGACAGTGGCATGCCTGCTATGCCATGCAATGGCCTTAGCTCAAGTATTGGACATCTAAAAAAAAATAACACTGCAATAAAATGATTTTTCTTTAATAATGTATCAAACTTGAAGAGCATATTTTTAGTCAGTTAATAGAAAAAATCAAGCATAATTCTGTTAAAAATCACATGAATATAGGCAACTTCTGAAGCAATATATGGAAATGAAAATTAGACCCAAATAAATTTACACATCACTACAGGACATGTTCAAAGTTTGCTCTCCTTGATGTAATACACCTGCAGATGCGTAGTGAGATTTTCTAAAGCTGACTGAGCTGTTCCTGCACTGATTTTAGAGATCCAGAGAGTGAAGGGTCACCCTTATGATTCTTTTATTCAATGAATAAAACAGCATCTTTGCTGACAAATGCCCAAGAACTAGCAACAGAGTGAAGAGTCACCTGGCAGTACACTTGATCACTAGCTTCTTTGAACGCTTCCATTATTGGATTCTCCTATACAGGCTACTTCCAGTGATTCTCTAGCATGTCTGAATTTTTACTAATGTTAACTTTGTCTTTCTATGTCACTGCTGAATTTATTGATCTTCATGCAATCTTCAGCAAATGGAAAGTTTTACCTCTTCTCAATTTAACTGCTGCAAAATTTTCTGTTCAAACTTCATATAATACTCCACAAATAAATTCTTGCAGCATTAACTCTTTATTAAGACACCCTGTATCATAAAAATTCCCCACAGCTAATGTGCTAAAGTGAAATTGGTGATAAGATTTATGTTTTAATCACAATTATTAGTATTCCTCACATGGAAGAAAATCTTTTTATTTTCATTTGAAAAACAGAAGCCCAACAGACATATTACTTTTTAAATTTAAATATCAATACAAGGGGCTTCATAACTTCTCAACCTACTATAAGGTTGATGAATCCAACTGCTTTTTGAAAAGCAAAAAGAAATAATTTTTTTGGCTTTTTGCACTTGAAAGGATACATTTACCATTACATTTTTCACAGTTAACATGGGTATTGGTGGTTCTATATTCGTATATTTTGGGTTATACAAGGAAAAATTTGATTCGACATAACAATTTTCAAACAATGAGTTTTTATTTGAGACCCAAATGAAAAAATGAATTGAGATTGTAAAAAAAGTTGCAAATGATGTTTGAGTTTTCAAATGTAAAAAAAAAAAGGTTCCTAAGTAAGAAGAAACAATGGTCAGGAAAAAAAAGGACTATGGATACCTTTTTCTTAAGAAGGCTCCCATTGGCAATTCCTTCTTTGGCATCTGCTAAGATTTCTTGCATGGTGCGATGTTTTCTCACATTCTTCATAACTTCCTTCACCTTCTCTCGGCATTCTTCAACCGTGCGCCCTTCCAAATACACCTGTAGATGAAAAAAAAAACTTATCTTGGAAATATTTAACAGAAAAAGAGAGTGCCAACAGTGATGTTCAATACTAACTTCATCCCATTGGATGCTTTCAAAGGATCTTGAGTAGGTCCTTCCGTCACTGGGATCCACATGATCTAGAACCACCTCTAATAATTCTAATAATTCCTCATCTTTCCACTCTTCCATCCTGAAAGCATAATTTAACATAAATGGATTATCAAAACTACAGGTTTCAATGAAAGGCCTGCTACCTCAGGTAGTACAATTGAATTTTCCATCGAGACCAATATTCAGGAAAATTACAGAATAACTGATGCTGTTACAAACAACCTGTAGGTTCACTAGGAGAGAATTTCCAGAGTCCAATTGCATAGAACTATCATAGGAAAAACAGTGGCATTTCAGCATCCAATAAAATTTCTGGTAGCAACCAATAAAAAAAACTCAGACATTTTGTTCAATTTTTCTATCTTTACCATTTCAAAAAGGAACAGTCATGCAGAGTCACTGCTTTTCGGGCAAAAGAGAAGCATTCATGGGCATGTAGAAACAAAGCTAAGGAAACAAAGAGATTAAGCTTGGAATAATGTACTGAAGTGTATAATAACGTATAATAATATAATATAATATAATATATAATAATATAACGTATAATAATAACGTATAATACCCGTGGGACCATCATAAGATTTTCAAGATTCAAGATAGTTAGTGATATGAAGAGGCGATTTCACCCATTTCGATATCACGTGTCATCCTTAATTTTAGGGTAGGCCTAACCCTCTTAAGCTAAATATTTTTGTATTTTTGTTTTTTGTTTTTTTTTTTAACCCTCACATGCTGAGCAAAACTAAACAATTTTTGGGAATTTTTGACTATAAGTTGGCAAAAAATTTATTGCACTTGATCTGATTGACCAACCTGAAGCAAAAAGTAGTATTGGGCTAGGCGAACTAGGACGAACCTCATGACCCCTTGGAACATCGAACAAATACTACTTCAAGCCGTTTGTCAAAGTTAATTTTATCCACAGAAGAAAGAAGTGAATCTGCATCGGTAACAACAGGCTTCTAAAACTTCCTTCACTTCCTGGCCGCCCTACCGAAAAAAAAGCACGTGAGAAGAATCAGTTCACAGGTGGTGGCGGTGCTGCCGTGACTAGTAGGAGTCACCATCTTGGAAGCAAGTACCATGGTTGCCAGATGAAAAATGAAACATGTAGCGATCACCTTTAAAAAAAATTAGCGCACTTTAGCGAATATGGACTTAATTAATTCGGAAATTCATACAGCGAATATTAATGTGTGATTCTGAATCTCCTGGATTCGTATGATTTGATCTGTGACGAGCGAGGCAGTGTAAGCACAACCCTACGTGCTTGTGGCTTGGTCACGGTACGACCTCACGTACATTCAAGATGCAAACCATAGTTTTTAGTGGACCACCTTTCCTGAAAAGAAAGAGACCTCTTATAGTCCCGCCCTGTCCGTCCGTGTGTCAATGTGTCAATGTTTTCGCGTGTCAGTATGTACGTGTGTCACACTTTGCTTGCCCGACGATAACTAAAAATATTTTGGTCTGATCAATGCGAAAATTGGCAAGCGGGTAGATAAGAACAAGATACAGGCTGAGTTCGTTTTGTGGTGAATTTGCTCCAAAATTGGCATTTTATTGCAAATTTTGGATTTGAAATTTGGTCACGGAAGGGAAGCCATGAGTACCCGTGAGCCCTGCAGGATGTGGATCACAATGCGCATGCGCGTATGACCCAGGCTTTGGGCGCGGCGCCGTGTCAGCAATCACAACTGTCATTTCCTACCAACCTTTGTGGAGGATGGATCTAGCCAGTGGCGCAGCCAGGTTTCCGTCGATGGGGGGAGCTAACTTCTCCTCGGCGAGGTGGGGCGGACGCATTCCGACCAGAGTTGGGGGGCAGGGCCGTTTCTAGGGGCGGCGAAGCGGGCGATAGCCCGGGGCGCAAGCGGGGTAAAGGGGGAGGGAGGGGGGGGGCCGTTGGAACTTCTTGCCCTGGGCACCAACACGCCTAGAAACGGCCCTGTTGGGGGGGGGGGGGCTTCAGCCCCCGCAGCCCCCCCTCGCTACGCCACTGGATCTAACCACGCACAGCCCTCCATCCTCCCATCATAGTTTCATGGGCACCGTTTCTCTATTTTTACCAAATATAAATGAGAAATGATGTTTTTGATGGTCGAGGACCGGAAAAAGATGGCATTTTGTTCAATTGAGCGACAAATGAGGTTTTCCTTAACTGAAAGGAGGTCCACTACTGGACTGGGCTTCCCCAACTTGTCATCTTTGTATCATAGCTGAAGCAAATGGCCACTGCATTCGGCACTCCGCCTGTGAAGGAATCCAGTTAGGGAGAGGTTGCTTTCATAAGTGTATCCTCTTACGGTACCCATCCAAGCGAAGTCCTGCGCGATCCTGCTCGTTTTTTCTACTAGCGAAGCTCCGAAATTCTCTTCGCCGTGCTCGATATATGCCGTGTTCCCAGTTGTAACTCGCAGTATGGCTTCTATGAAGAACGAGTGTTGCACGGCGATGGAAGTCCACCTCTTGAATTTTAGAATGGTATAAACGGATGGACGTCACCTTCCCTTCCCCTCCGCCCGACTCCGCCCGGTTGCGCTAGGACCGTAGCGTGAACTCGTCGAAGACGCTAGCATGGGTGGATCGGATACCGGAGCGAAGACGGCTCGACCGCGATCGGAGGGAGGGAAGAAGATGGAGGGATGCTCGTCACCGACGGGGTCGCGGAACGGAATCCGAGCAGAACGACCCGGCGATTCGGGATCACCGCCGCTTAGAGGGTCCTTGGGCGCGATCGCGTGCTCGTCTTCTTCGCTCGTGACGGCCCGCACGAGGGTGCATCTGCCACGAGCGAGACGACGACGACGATCGAGCCGTTCGAGAAGACTCTTCTCGAAACACCTCTCCCGAACGCTGGCTTTCCCCGGGACGCGATCGCGGGCAAGGGAACTCGAACTCTCTCTCTTTCTCCGGGGGGAAACGAACGGTTCGGAACGGCCTCCCTCCCGGGAAGGACGTGGGCCTTCCGAGCGTATCCGTATCCCACGAACGAGTCCTACGGTCTGTCGCATGCATCTCACGAGGAAGAAGTGGGGAGGCCCGAGGTACCCTCCGCCTCGAAACCGGAAGGGGTGACCAAAGACCTTATACTAAGAAGACTGGGCACTCTGTGGCGGCGCCTTTGATGTCGAGGAAACCTCCTGCCCTGGTGTTTGGCCCCGGAACTACGCAGAACTGACCAATGGGATCATTGGATTGGAATGTCGCGTGAAATGTGGCTCCCTCTTGATGCAAGTACTACGCCTACATACCATGCCAGGAAAAATTTGACCAAATGGATGGAGATGTTCGGTTGCATCGGTTTCTCAAGGATCAGGGAAGGCACGCGCATGTGTTCACCAAGGGCTCTGCACTAGGCCTATGGTCATGGCTTTACATATGTGTAACACGAATTAAGTAAAATGCTGAGTAACCCCAACGACCCTAACGAAAAGGTCAACATTTTCGCGTCTCGGATTGACAGGCCTGTTAGAATAGGATGACTTCCATTTTGAAGGGATAAAAACAGGCTGTGGATCTTGCAGCTTCGCTTTGGATTTGCAGCCTGCTGCCGCAACGCTGGCCGTGTAATAGATTAAAAGTATACCAAGATTTTTATGGCCTAGAGTGGCATAGCCTTTTAGGCCTTGCGTGTTAGGCAGCAGGTGGGTTACAACCATTCACTACCGATTTCGGCCTCTTTCAATTTTCATGGCCTAGCCTATGGCCCAGAATGACAGAGCCTTGAATGCCAGGCGCTTTAGGCCTTGGATGGCCTGAAATGGCATGGCATTGTAGGCCTAGCACGTTAGGAGTGACAGCTGCCACGACTTTCGGCCTCTTTCAATTAAAGTATTAGTTATTAGATTAGATTAGATGTTCTTGGGGTCCATTTGGGTTACTATTGGTGGTACTCGTACACATTGTTGCTGGTGTCGTATGAGTAAATTATTGAGTAAATTCGAATATAACTTTAATAGAGTTTTGTGGCTCCCGCGGGACATTATTTTGTTCGCGGCCCTGCATGGGTTGGGCCCATGACAGGGTTGGGCCCGCATAGCCCTCCATTGTTTTGCTGGGGGTGTGACCTCTCCCTTCCGGCCACGCCGTCCTTCGTTTTTCCGTCTCGCGTGTGGTCCTGTGTCTTTCGTCGAGAGTGTTCGTCTGAGGCAGTCCCTCTTGCCAGCCGTGCCTGCAGCTTTTCTGTTTTGGTCTTCCATCGATCGCCCTGCGTGCAATCTCCGTTTCCGTCGATCCTACTAAAGACTAAGACCTCTTCAAGACCTCCTCAAGACCCCAATCTGTGATATTTATTCTTTTCTCTTAATTTAACTTTAATTAAATATT